GAGATGGCCACATTTTTAAATAAAAACAGAATGAAAGTTAACGCTTGGCTATGCACAGAAACACGTTGTTTTTCTAGAAGAAAACCAGAATTCATTTCGTTAACGTGAGTGGCAGATACGTGATAGCCCTGACTTGTCTGAGTATATTTTGTCTTATGAATATATCGCGATTTTGTAGCTGGGATATGAGAAAAGTACAAAATACTAAAAAGCCTAGTGATTTCTGCATATTTTCAGTGAAGACGTTTCTAATAACGAGAAAAAAGTCGTTCCCAGGTCGAATTCGCTTGATCGGATCCTTTTAATTCCGATGATTTCCGGAGATCGGGCGCCCTACCGGATCCGGAGATAGGAATCTGCTTAATTCCTTCTCGTTCCGATACTGGTGTTCGGGAAGGATCCGTTAATTCCCGGCAGCGGAAATTGACGGATCTTGTGATGTGCACTTTATTATTTGTTTTTTCGCATAATATATTCACCGTTTTATTTCACCACTGGCGCACTCTAAATACTTTCAACGGATGTGTTATACACCTCTTAGCTAGTGGGAGCTTCCACTCTCTTGAGTAAACAGAGAGAAGAGCACTAGAAAATGAAAGAAAAAATTTAAGACTATTTTTAACCTCAAAACTGGTCAAATTCTGCCCACAACCAGCAAAATCAGATTCATCGGTCGGATCTTTTCCGACATCTTCTGACATGGATTCCGAGCAAGCGATTGCTGCAGGATTTTACCGAAATCCGACAACTTCCGGCATGTTCCGATGTTGGATCCGGCAGGTTCCGGCAGGATCCTGATGCCGGAATCAACGACCTAGGTTGCCGTTCTATTAAAGTGAAATGCAATTATACAGAACCGAGAAGAACCGGGATGGGTCATTTTGTATGATCAGTACCTCATTAACGGAGTGAAAGTTAGTTTTCAGCGGTTGCAGGTAGATAAAGACAAATGAGTAGAACATTTTTGCTAGCAGAAGTTTTTCTTAAGGGAGGTAACCGCCTACAAACCTGCCCTCTAATTATGCCAGTTTGTAGAGTGCGTTGAGTACTATGTATCCTCAAGAAATTTTGATTGTCCTATGAATATTGGTGGAATTATGAATTTTGTAACGTTGGACTTTGGTCAAAATTTTCCGTTTAGTGGCTGATTTTCGATATTTCATAAGTCATTCAGGGATAATGACAAAAATGTGATTCAAGTATGTTTAGATGCACAATTATTCATAGTTATTATGTATGTGAAAAAGGAAGAAAAAATATGTACATAATGGCCTATTTATAAAATTTTTCTCTGAAATCGATGCCAGTTCAGTGTAGTCTGGTCGTTTGCATTCTTTTTTTCTTCAACCTCTTTTGCTCAAATATAACGAACAATACATCATTTGAATCAGCTGCTCAAGTGCTACAAAATGCTGTATTTGGTTTTTTAATTTGTCATGGATGTGGGATGTTTTCGAGATTTTTTCATATATGGGCTGTTATATTAATTAACAGCCCATATATTATTAAAAACGAATGCCGGTGGCTATTTCTTTAATAACTTTTGAACAGTGCACTTCGAAGACTTGCGATTTTCAGCATTGCATAGAGAAGGTAATTAGCTACAAGTTGATATAAAAATATCTTAGAAAATACCACCTGCAGGTGGTATACCTTATTAGTCTATGAAAGAGTAGGTGAAAGTCCAAGATCTGCCAGAGTGCCTCCTGCGTTTCACATATAGATATGTTAGCGTAAAATGTTCTCTACAAAATGGGAACTAAGCGACCTCTTAATCTTCCGTGGTTCAGGAGCGCCATTGGATTTTCTCGAAGCCCCAGGATAGATATTTTCTTAGGTGTGGTAATCTCTAAAATGAATGGAAACATGGTTTATCCATCACGCTGAGTCTCGTGGCAATGTTCGTTTTTCGAAAAAAATTCAAAAACCTAGTGAAAAGCTTTATTAGGTGAAATCGCTCTTGCATGGAAATTCGACTTTTTCATTACCTGGTACACGAAGTTATGCACGCATTTCAAGAACAACAAAGCATTTTTTGTGGGAAAATTTTGAAAGAAATGCAATTTACACAAATTTTAAGTAAATTTAAAAAAGATAAAAACTTTTTATTTGTAATTTATTTCAAAATTTTTCCACTAAAATGGAAAAAGTGCTCCCCTTAGAGTATGAAGAGCATTATCCTGAACAACTTTGCCAGCGAAAATTTTTCTTCAAAATGTTTCGTTGTTTTTGAAATGCGTGCATAAGTTTCAAAAAATTAGTTTAAGACTCAAACTGCACTATAATGAAAAATGTTAATTTTCTCAGACACCGTTGGTTCAGTTTTCATTATAACTTGTGGGTATATGTCACTTAAGGTGCTCTGTCTAACTGCGTAACAATAGGAGTTCCAGCTCCAATTCTGAATTTTTTATAAATTTTTTAAATAGAGGGTCAAAATCGTATGAAATGCGTAAAAATTTCTTTTCTCAGCAATTACAAGTCTGTTCATCGAAAGCACTTCAGGATATATACAGCGGATGCGTTCTACAAAGTTATGAAAAAAAACGGCGATGGTACACCCCACATCCATGACAAATTAAAAAACCAAATACAGCATTTTGTAGCACTTGAGCAGCTGATTCAAATGATGTATTGTTCGTTATATTTGAGCAAAAGAGGTTGAAGAAAAAAANAATTTTTTAAAAAACCCCGCCTTGCCCCCCCCCCCCCCCCCCCTTAATATTCAACTTTTAGTACTAAAAATAAAGTTGTTTTAAATTCATACGTTTCCATTTGTATGAAAGCGTCCTATGTAGGAAACAAAATTTTGCTTGCCGTTCTATTTAAGAACTGTCTACATAATTAGAACGGGCTGGATCATAACCCCACCATTTCAAGACCAAATTCCAAAATCCTTTTACCATTCGACGCATTAGATTCACTCGATCCGACCACATAAATAGGTCTAAACGTTGAGTGCAGGGTGGTCATTTTTTCATAGAACAGGCGGACATCTGGTTTTTTGAGTTACAAAATGGTTTTCGTATAATATTGTCTTACTATATGTCAGATATTAATAAAAGTTGAATTCGGAGTCGTCTGCAAGAGAGCAAAAATCTTATTACTCTACATCCCAGGTCAAAACCTCACGACCGTATACTATAGTATTACGTCAATCGTAAACCATATTACTTACACTGGAATACGACAGTGGTAACGACTGATGTAATACGTTGGCCGGGTTTACGTCAAAATACGAAATACTATAGTATACGTCAAATTACGTCTTCGTAATGTGACGTATACAACCGTATACGACGATCGTAATCATGGACATAGGATGGGAGAGACATGCAGCCATGAAACTTTCAGTGTAAATGAATATACAAGCAATGCAAGAAGAATATGTAATGAACAATGAGAGAGAGGGGAAGAATGTGACGGACTGAGAAATGAACAATAGGAGAGTGATATAATGTGAATGGAGAGAGTGGTATATGCATAGTAAGAGACAGATAAGTTATTGTTGGAGAGGGGTGACAGTGAATAGCCAGTAAGAGAAGAGGTCATATTTCGTTACAGGTGCAAGCAGCAACAGACAATTCGAATAAAAAGTGAGTACCGTGACCATATAAAAGCGTTAAAAAGGACAAGTCTTTCCTGCAGATGACGCTCAGTAGGCTTTAAGGATGGTAAGTCTGGAACACTAAAAACTACACTTTTAGATAGGTCAAATCTACACATCGTTTGAAAAACGCATTTGAAGTTGACCTACTTTCATCTTTTTCATAATCTTACAGCATGTATAGCAGAACAGTTTCGATTGTTGTTTTCAAATAGTTTTTAATTAGTTTTAATAGTTTTTGAAAAAGGAAAAAAGTTGTCTGTTCAATTCGTTTTGTTTTGTTAATATAATTTTAATTAATTTAATTAATGTTTGTTATTCACTGAAGAACATTGAAGTATCAGTTGAAACGTTTGAAATAAATAAAGAAATAGTACGAAGAAAAAGTAATTAATTAATATATATTAAAACATTGCATCTAACTTCGTAATCATATCGAATTTCAAAAAATGTTGCAACTTTTTTCAAAATGCCATTTTGTTTCTAATCATCTCTAGTCTATATCCTATGTGTTTCACGTCTATCGGATTAACCATGTTTTTGCAAAATTCAGTTCGAAGTGGCTGTTGGAACCTTGAAAATTGAATAACATCGAGTCTTTTTGAAATCCTTGGAAGTCTTTGGGAATTTGTTAATAACATATTCTTACTCAGAATTCGATTCTCTTTCGAAAGAGGATAGATCTTGGCGTTTGCACCAAACCTTGTTGTAATGGTGATGCAATCTAACGCTTTGCATTTTTTGTTGACGAAAATAACTATGAGAAGAATCTTAGACGACACAATCAGTTTGTTTGTAATTCTTACCTTCTCTTTGAATAGTAACATGAAAATAGTAACATTCATTTGCTAAATCATCATCTGTACAATTTAGTTATATTTGTATTATGGTGTTCCAGCTAACGTAAAGCTGAATAAGCTAAAGTTTCTAGAATAAGTAAACTTTCAGCTTTATAAAATTCAATATTGTCACCATCACGTAAAAAGTGATATCGATTGGTATTATTTAAATATAATGACCCTTCTGTTGATCTTTTGTGTAAAAGTTGTGTGTCATCTACCGGTTGTATATCTTTATATTTTGACGCTCTTTAATCTTATCCACCAAGTTTTTTTCTAGTAAAAATAAACATGTTTGATACTGATGATGATTATCGAACATATGTCGTTGACATCGATCGAAGGTTGTTAAAGATAAAAATGAATTGAAAAAACAAAAAAATAATATGCTCATACGCATCTAGGTTTTAAAATTTGTTGACTAGAGAAGAAGAATCGTCATTCGTCAGTTTATTAAAATCAATGGTAGCGCTCGACCTATAATACTTTAATCTTCCGGACGATCTGTTGTTTTATCTATGCTACTTATTCATTTAAACTGTTTTCTTTCAAATATGATAGGACAGACTAGAGCTCAAGCAGGTAAGGAAAAAAAGAGCATCATTACTTCCGCTTGAAAACAAAGTAAGATAAATATTCATCTCTTAGTGTTTTTAGATCACTGTCGTAAAACTATGAGGATTAATATATGAATTTTTAAAAAACAAAATATGTTTCTATGGTCCAATAGTTTTATAGCATTTCATCTCACTTTATTCTAAAAAAGATGTGAAAAAACCTGGGCAGACATTTGCAAATTAGCAACCTTCCTATTTCCAGGTGTTTTCATTTGTTTCAATTCTGTCTCTCTAGTTTAGAAAAAAGAAATATATCGTCAATTATAAAATTTTATTCTTGATCCATTAATTGTTTATTATTTATATCTCACAATCGTCTGCGATCATCTTCATCAACTGCAAAACTTTATTTATTCTTGACTCTCGTAGCTCATTCAGTGACGTCGACGATCAAAGCTTATTTATCACTATCAAATATTATTATTAAGTACATATTTGGGAAATATTTAACTCAGTCATACGCTAATTTAAGAATGAAAGGAGAATTAACGTCGCAAGGTAAAAAAAGCTTGTATTGCAGATCGTTTTGTTCTCCAGGGACCCAAGGGATCCAACATCAAAATAGCAAACATGCAAAAAAACACAGTTCGGATGTGTTTTAAAAATAAGTCATCGTCGAGATTTCTGTACACTTCTTTAACCCTTTGGTGTCGGGACACGCATATATGCGTGTTGAAGTTTCTTATCATTGCTTCTATATAACAATAAAATTTGTTTCAAACATTTTCTGAAAGAAAAAATTTTCATTTTTTCAAAAAAACCCCGGCGCCTAAGGGTTAAAGTCAAGTTCTAGCTTCTCAGTCAACTAATTCACCAAACGTTTTCTATATTTTCACCCCGTAAATAAACGAAGAGGGCAAACAAAACCTATCAGTCAGATTTTACACATCTACCATCAATTGCAGTTCACTCATACACATATTATATTTCGAATCGTCTTGTCTTTAGAATGTCAGTTATTTGAAGCTGCACATTATGATAAATTAAATACATTAAAACGGTAAGAATCGATATTTCTCTCTCGTTGAACTCTTTCTTTCTCTATATTTTTTTATCTCTCTCGTTTAAACTTAAAGTTTAATAGAAATTTTATGTACAAACATAAATATTCGTCATCCATTAGGTTGGACCCCATTACATGTTGCTGTTGTTAATCAAAACTTAGAGTAAGTATAGTAAGGTTTCATTTATTTTCTTTGTTTGTTTAATATAAGTCGAACAGAAAAAGCTCTGTCCTTGAAGGAAACTACAATAATGTCTTTCGATGAGCCAAACCTTCAAATATCAACTTTTCCCACCCTGTACCTGATATTTCTTGTCCACAACAGCGAAAAAGATCATACCTTCGTGGAGTTCGCCTTTAATGACCAATTTCAAAGACTTTGAGTGTTATTTTCACTTTTGACACTTAAAAGGAGACAGATAGTTAGTTCAAGCACACAAGTATGCTTATCAATAAACGAAGTCTCATCTACTCATTTTGCACAGATTTCCGAAACAAAAAGCAAAACAGAAATCTTTAGGGTAGTGTTAGGAAGCGTGCAAAAGAGGAGAAATCTAGCTGCAATTAGCTATCTTCTGTCCACTTTTGACTTCTTGCACGTACTTAAGCCAACAGCAGACTGACTACCAATTAAGCGTCATATGAGACAATTGTTGTGACAAGATTAATCTTGTTTGAATTTTAGTTATTTATTTTATGAACAACTGTTCACGGGTATGGACTGACGAAATCGATGTGCCATTCTGGCGCAAGCTCTCACAGTGCTGCCATCGACCCAGGTCAAAGATTCACGACCGTATACTATAGTATTGACGTATTTAGTATTGTCGTATTTTGACATAAACCCGGCCAACGTATTATAACGACGTTGCTTACGTTAAAATACGATGAAATACGAGGGTCGTAACGGCTGACGTAATACGTTGTCCGGGTTTACGTCAAAACACGATGAAATACTATAGTATACGTCAAACTACGTCTTCGTAACTTGACGTATACGACCGTCAGGACGGTCGTAATCATGGACCTGGGTATGTGTCCAGCATTGACTCCCAGCTGAGTAGTCGCAACCTGTCGGTTTTCTCTCTTTAATCCTATAATTTTTATTTTGTTGTAGATCAGTCAAATATTTATTGTTAAAAGGTGCAGATCCCAATTTACCGGGTGAATATATAAATGCAAATGAAACGGCTAAATCAGTTTGGTATTTGTTAAAAGAACAAGGTAATTTTTCGATTCTGTGTCCTGAGAATGGAAAAAAAGGAGAACGAAAAATAATTATATCGTTCAATCATCATCATTTTCTTGTTCTTTTTGTCATACTTAGTACAAACTGCGCGTGAAGAAGAATTTTGTGATCGTTTACCATCATCTTCACGTTTTACAACATTTAAAGGTTTTACATGTTTACATTACGCTGTTTTAAATGGTAGCCTATCGATTATTCGTGTATTACTGGATAATAATGCGAACCCATTATTAAAAACTGTGGAAGGACATTTACCATCAGCTTTTGCATCAGGAAAAGCCGGATGTAAAAATTTATTATTGGAATACGAAGAAAAGGTTTGCAGTTGATCGTTTCTCATTCCCATTTACTGTTATACACAAAAACATGACTTTTTTTGGTGTTGACCCAAGGGGGAAAAGGCGGCTCCGGGAGCTTTCCGGAGCTTGACATGCTGAGCGATGCTCTGAGTGGCTCGTAGTGCCACGGATCAAGAAAACGGCCCTTTCCCGCAAACAAAACAAAAAGGTTCTGTCTGTGGGAATAGAATTCACGGAACAGAACACAATTGTTCCGTTATCAGAGAAAATTTCCCGCTAAAAGAACAGGATTGTTCTGTTTGGGGAACAAGTTTTTATTAGAAGTGAAAAATTTTGAGCGAGCGATGCTCACCGATGCTAGGAAAGAAAAAGTCGCCTTTTCCCCCTTGTGTTGACCTCTTGAAGGTGATATATTACATCTATTTTCTGCCATCTTTTTGCTTTTTTAAAGGAAAGAAAACTTGTTGAAGAACGCATAAAATCTGATCGTCCTAAATTGTCATTAGAAATACGTCTAAAAGAAAATATTATTGGACAAAATTATGCTGTATCCACAGTTTGCGGTGGTAAGTTGGAGAAGAATGTTCGGTTTTGTATCATGTTTCTCTGCTTTTGTTTGTTTGTTTTGTAGCAATCAGACGTAAGGAACGTGGATGGGTAAACAATCAATCGCCATTGGTTTTCTTATTTCTTGGATCATCAGGGGTTGGTAGGTGCAGGAACGAGAGCGAACAAAACAATAATAAAAAAAGAGAAAGAACTTTTGGGTTCAGGTAGAAAGGGTGTGAGACAGAACTGATGGAAACCAAAAGGTCGCGAATGAATCAAGGTCGTTTCCTTCACAATATTTCGAAAAAAACAAAATACGTAACTGGAATCGACTGCACTTCTTGTTTTCTTCAAATATACACTTTCATCTCTTTCAGAATGTTTTTTGAGCCCCCATTACGTCCTTGCAAAACTGATAAAACTTTTGTCTCAGGCTTTTCTGGGTTATTGCCATTATCACGTCAAAAAATTAAAAAACTCAAATTCTACCAGTTTTCAAAACAATAAATCGTCTATAAATTTTTGAATTTAGTCTGAAAATCTATCGTAAGTCCTGTCAGCTGCACGAAACACGTGAGAAGAAAGTTTTTTCTCACATAATTTGATTAAAAACCAGCCCACAATTCTGTTTGAACTAATGGTTTTGCAGAAAACTATCACAAATTTTTTTCTAATATGCTATCCCATAAAATGTCTGACATTTTGATGAGACAGTTTTGAGCGGATATCAAAAATCCTAAATGCAGTTTTTTGCGTGCATTTGCTGTTTTCCTTTCTAAAACAAAGGGAAAAGAAATTTTCAGACTGTTTTTTCTCTGCCTTCCAAACTTTGAAGAGTTTATGTTCTTTGAAATACCGCAGGGTCTCTCTCTGATGAGCTGTGCCCATTACTTATCTAATCGGTGAGTATACATACTCTCTAACATGTTCAAGAACACACACTTGGTCAGCAATCACTACACTTTTATTGTTCCATACCGTCTTGTCTCTTTCTGTTTCTAGGTAAAACCGAATTAGCAAAACAAATTGCCCATTATTCAAATAATGCTAATAATAAAAACAGTCAAAATTCTTTTATACGTGTTGATATGTCTGAATATCAAGAAAAGCACGCAATATCAAAATTAATTGGATCATCACCTGGATATGTTGGCTATCAGGAACGTGGACAACTGACTGAATCATTAATAAAATGTCCAACAGCTGTTGTACTATTCGATGAAGTTGATAAAGCACATACAGATATCTTGACAATTATGTTACAATTATTTGATGAAGTAAGAACGTGAACTGTACTGGAAAAGAATGGGTAAAAAAGGAGTTAATGTATCAGAGACATGATTGGCTTCTATTTGATATATCCATTTTATCGCCAAACTTTAGTAAGGAAATATACCGTTTTTGAGGGTTTTGTCGAAGTTTTAACGAGTCTCTTCCACCATGCCGCTGACACGCTTTTTAGTTTATAGATTTTAATGTAACTATTTTTCGATAACAATAATTTCGGGCAGTTTTTGCCATTTTTTGAGAAATTTTGCCCAAAAAGTAATTTTAGTTTATGACAAAAAGCCTTTTGTCATTTAAAATCTAAAGTATTTGTGTCAATATTTCCTAGATCTAAGTTCCATTTCTTTTGTTACAGGGACGTCTTACAGATAATAACGGTACAACAGTTGATGGTAAACAAGCTATCTATGTTATGACATCAAATTTAGCTTCGGAAGAAATTGTTCAGTATACACAAGAATTAAGACAAAGAGAAGAAGAAGAAATAAAATTAAAACAACAACAACAGAATTTAACATCAGCAACTAGTGATGATCGTAAGTGGTTGAAAACAAGAGTGAGATTATCGTAGTCAGCCTTTTTTGACCTGTACTGTCTCTCCCGCATGCCACAGAATAGGGAGCACTCCGAACCAGGAAAAACAACAAAGTTTTAGCACCAAGAGAATTCAGAAACTTTTCTTTAAAAAACCTACTGAACTTCACATGCACTCTAGAAAATAGATGCGGATTGGATAAGGAGTACTAAAAAGTCTAACCTTCTACTGGTGTCAGTGACACGGAATTTTAATTAAGTCGTCCAAAAAAAAAGCTTAGCCATCTCCTTTTGAGCAGTGACAAGGGAGGACAGACGTATAGCAGCAGCAAAAACACCTATAAGGATCACCGTTGTATACTTCTAGTTCCTATACTTTTAATAAATGTTCGACTCCTGATGAAATCAACTAAAAAATCAACCTTAAAAGACGGAAAACTAGACAGGAATCCTTAGGACTGAAAAGCAGAGTGTCGAAATGAAAAGGAATCCGATCAGATTTGGAGAAAAACGCCGCTGGTGCTGCTAATAGACAGACATTTCGATACATTTTTTCTTTTGAAACTGGTCGAAATTCCTAATAGTATATGTTTTCCCTTTAAAAGGAACAGAAGGTTCGAAAATTCCTTCACTTTTCTCGCCTATAGTGTCTAACGGCCGCCTTCAGCTTGTTTCACGAACTTTACTTTCTTTACGCACCTACGTTTGTCTGTCGGCTACCACGATTCTGAATTTCAATTCTGCTTTATTTCATGTGATAGACAGTATCGACGCTGCGACTGAGAAACAAAAAAGAGATTTGAAGAACGGACGGCGCATAAGTTTTTCATTTCTTTCAAATTAAACTCTGTTCTAGAAACTGACGTTTCTATAGACAATGATCACCAACAATACATTACAGTATCAAATCAATTTAAAGATAAAGTTGTTAGACCAATTTTAAAGGTATAAATTCATAACTATTTCTCTCTCATTAATTTGACACTTAAGATTTTTCGTTTATTCTTTTCCTTTAAAGGAACATTTTCGTCGTGATGAATTTTTAGGGCGTATAAATGAAATTGTTTATTTTTTACCATTTTCAAAATTGGAAATTAATAAATTATTACTAAAAGAATTAGAATTTTGGAAACAATGTGTAAGTGAAGGGGTTCTTATTTAAAGACTGTATTCTCCCCTTCACTCAGAAAGAAAGAGAATTTTCGAAATTGAGAAGATCTTGCGGATATGAGTCTTTTTCGTCCTTAAAGAAAATGCAGTCGATTCTACATAAGACAATTTTTTGTAGTGTACAAGATAAAACAAAGCTCGACCACCTGTTAGTAGCGTTTTTGCTGTATTATTGTAGGCAAAAGAAAAACATAATATTGATATCATATGGGATCGTCAAGCATTGGATTGTTTAGCTGAAGCTTACGATATTAATTATGGTGCACGTTCAATAAAACATGAAGTAACTGAATGCTTCTTTCTGTTCTTTTCTAAACTATGCGTTACTTTTGCTCTATGTATTTTGTATAGATTGAACGTAGTGTTGTTAATCAGTTAGCTTCTGCAGATGAACAAGATTTAATTGTATCTGGTAATAAAGTTTTATTAACTACCACAACAATTGAAGAAGCCGATTATTTGGTTCATTCTGCACAACAACAACAATACCCAAAAATATTTAATAAGATTAAATTACAAAAGCTAGAGGAGATAACAATATCAGCAACCTCATCAAAACGTAAAAGGAGCAGTAGAGATAACAATAACAATAATAATGCGATAGAATATATTGATATAAAACTAGATGCTCATTTAAGAGAACATTAACATTTAGTCGTCTGAGCTTGTTTTTATGTACAGTTTTGTTTTGTTCAAACATGGTTCATTTCTAGTAGAGTAAAATGACTATGGAAAAGAGAAATACACAGGAAACTCTAATTGCTAAAATTGCTCGAAAAGCACTAAAATTTCTTGTTAAATTATCGACCGCAAGTAATTATTTGACTGCCTAAACTTGTAATGCAATGTCTCTCAAGGACCCACGCTTTCTGTTATAGAAAGCGCGAAGAGAAATCAACCCGCTAGAGAAAGCAGAGATTGTGCATATTAAGCACATTGTACGTACTCGAATTAAAAGTAATCACGTTAAGGTAAGAGAATTTTCTTTCAAACTTCGGCTACAGGGGAAACATAATAGTGCAAACATGTCGAAGTTTCCTGCGACTATTGACTCTTGCAATTAAGCAACCATTTTCCTTCAATCTACCGTGCTCGACCGGAAATCGAACGTTTCGCGAGCTTTTGTGAACGTTTTGAGGAGATTTTTCGAAAGGAAAATCATTTAAGTTACATTCTGGATCTTTCGTAAGGAAGATCGTTTATTTTTAATTCTGACTTGTGGCGCCAAATTTTTTTGATTTTTGTTTAACGCTCATAATGAGCACGGATCATGCACGATTTTTGCAAATGTCTATGACCTCTTAAAAATCGTCTCCCGATACAAGTAGTATCTCGATAAACTCAAATAAGCTTTTTTTTCGTGGAAAATAATTCGACACGGCCGAAGGAACAAGATTAAACGTTAAGAAACACAATAAACCTTTACTATCACATGATATCATTACAAACTGTTCTCGTCAGACACAATTATTACCAAGTCCGATAAATACGTCGCCTCCTGATTTGTCAAATCAGACAACAGTTTCGACACCACCAATCTCGACCATGTCGTCCAACGAATTGCTTACATTATCCAGAAAAGCTCGTTTCAATGATCTACCCAGTTTTTCCGGTCAACCATCAGAGGACATCGAACAATTCTTAAAGAGAATTAAAAATTTAACTAAAACTGACACTGACATAACCGATGCTCAACGTCTTGAAATTGTCCGGGGAAAACTGTCACAATCGGCCGGTACGTGGTTTGACGATCAAGAATTTACTACATGGTCTCAATTTGAAACGTCCTTTCGCGGTAGATACTCGTCGACCATGAAATCTCAAACAAAATTTGGTGAATTGCTTCAACGAAAACAACAACCTGATGAACCCATGGCAACGTATTTTGATGATATGGTTTCCTTGTGTCGAGAAGTCGATACAGGTATGACTGAGAGGATTATTGTCCAACATCTTATGAACGGCGTTCGTTCTGAATTTCGGAAACAACTTTCTCGCCATGAACCTCCAATTGATCAAATTGCAACGTTTTTGACCGTGGCAAAAAAGGAACAAGATATTCACGAACAATTTGAAAAATTTCAAGAAATGAAAATTCAACCACAACAACCCTACTTCTTTCTGAATCCGGAATCAACATCATTAACAGCCGCCGTTCATCAACGGCCATATCGACATCCAAATCATTCCAGTCGGGATTTACAGCAATTGGAAATCAGGAGATCTGTCGAAAGACAGCCATCATTTATTCCAAGGTCACATCATAAATTATTGAAATCGTCAGAAAGTTCACGCAAATCGACCATGAAACAACCAGTGGTGGATCAGGCTCAACACTCTTCGTCATCGTTTCAATTTACTCCCTGTAAAATTTGCGGAAAAACGAACCATCGCACCATTGATTGTTATCACAAACATCCATCAGGCTGTTTCAATTGCGGACAGAATCATTCAGTTCGCGAGTGCACGAATCCACCGTCTTTTCAATAACTGGGTCACGGGATGGCGGTGTCCCCAGTAAACTTGAGAAGCCATCAATAGCAACATCAACCTCTCCAATTTATATCAAAGTCCAAGTCAACCGAAAATCAACATCTGCGATCGTCGATACTGGATCCGCCATCACGATAATTCACCAAAATCTTCTAAGCGCTCTTTATCATCGAAAATTCAGCGGTAAGAAAACCGACTGTCAAGCAGCTAATTCTTCATCGATCAACATCATCGGTCAAGTTGAATTGGAAATTAAACTTGGAAAAATTAAAACCTACATAATAGCAGACGTCGCAACAAATCTAATCACATCTCTTCTCCTCGGAAATGACTGGATAAATCCTAATCACGTACATTTACACGGCGATGAACAACGCCTGACAATCCCAGCAAAAAACGGACAACTTATCTCATTCCCGTATATCGCTTCACCTGATCTTAACTATCCAGTCTTCCTCGTGAATCAAGTGACCATTCCTCCGAATTCTCAGCAACTCGTGGACATCAAAGTTCAACTCTCTGGGGCTGAGAACTTGATTTTTCAGCCTATTACAAATTATCTGTCAAAATTTTTATTCATCCCTAACACTTTGCTAAACGTCACTGATCATACGGCAAAAATTCTCGTCATAAATGCTCAGGATCGTCAACGTACCCTATCCAAAAATTCGAAAATTGGCATGATAAATAGATATCCAACGTTTGAAGTATGTCTTACCATGCAACAACCACGCCGGAAATCCCTTACAACTCTAAAACCTGTTGGATTCTTAGACCATAACCAATTGTCATCGAGAGCAGGAGCGGTCAAGACCACCACGGACTACTCATTTCCAAATCGGAACACACAGTGTTATAAATGCCAACAAAATTTTCTCACCGGAAATGACCTCCAAAAACACCTTCGAGAATCGTGTTATTCGGAAGAAGTCCGTAGACACATTCAAAATCTCACACAGCACATCGAACATCCAAAACAAAAGCAGCAGGTCGAAGAGATATTATGGCATAATAAAGATTTATTTGATTCGGGTCCAGCAATCGTTAATATACCTCCTCAATCAGCAATCAAAACCGGTGATCATCCTCCCATTTATTCGAAACAATATCCTGCTTCCGAGAGGGATCAACAAATAAAAACTGAAGAAACTCAAAAATTGTTAGAACGTGGCCAGATAGAAGAATCAACTTCTCCATGGTCATCTCCCGTCGTTCTCGTCAAGAAAAAAGATAAAACAACTCGTTTCTGTATTGACTATCGCCGTCTCAATGCTATAACAATCAAAGATGCCTTTCCTTTACCTCGAATAGATGAAATATTTGACCAACTGTCCGAAGCCGTCATCTTCACAAAATTTGATTTCAAAAGCGGATACTTTCAAATTCCCCTAGCAAAAGAAGATCGTCCGAAAACAGCATTCTCCACAAGGGACAATCATTATCAGTTCACTGTCTTGCCGCAAGGAGTCACTAATGGACCGGCGACATTTCAACGTGTTATCAATCATATTTTGGGTCCAACTCGTTGGCGATACGCATTGGCTTATATAGACGATATCATCATTTATTCTCGAACATTCGAAGATCACTTATCTCATCTGAAAGAAATTTGTCAACTCCTAAAAGAAGCAAACTTTCGTCTCAATTCGGAAAAATGTGAGGTGGCTCGTACACAGACCGATTATCTTGGCCACCAGATTAAACAAGGTGATATTCGACCGAGTCCTGTCAATATTCGAGGCCTGTTACATACACAGCTTCCGAAGACCGCTGAAGAAGCATCAAGATTTGTCAAAGCAGCGGAGTATTATAGGAAATTCATTCCGGGGTTCTCCCTTTTGGCAGAACCATTAAGAAAATTTGTCCCAACGTCAAAGACTGGCAAACGAGGTCAAAGAAAGCCAATCACATTGACAGACGACGAGAAAAGGTCCTTCGAAGAACTCAAACGTATTTTGACCAATGATCTCGTGCTTCGTCTCCCAAACAATCGGTTTCCATTCAAACTCCAAACAGATGCATCAGATGAAGGCATCGGTGCCGTATTATTACAGAACTATTCCGATGGTGATCATCCCGTGGCATATCTATCGAAAAAATTCACCGCAACTCAGAGCAGGTGGTCAACTACCGAACAAGAATGTTATGCACTC